AAAGGAAGCCTCCATAAAAGGAAGTGTTAAGCCTCATAAAAAGGAGTTGAATGTTTAGACTTTTTTGCTTCCCTTTCAGGTCTCTATCTATAATCATGTATTTTTAAAGCATCTCTCTTTGGCACTGCTCCACAATTAATTAGAAAATTATGGTACTTACTGTCTTATAGGCAAGTTATTTCATATAGTTGTTGTCAAATTTGTAGATTCCTACTGATCTAATCTTTACTGTGGCAAAGAAATATACCCAATGTGATAATTCAGACCCAAGGCCTACTAGAGTGTAAAAGGTAGGAGGAAAAGGAGATTCTCTAATTAGGAGAGCAGCATCAACATTTAAGATCAATGGGTTAGCTCAGTTGGTTGGAGTGCAGTGTTATATACACCAAGGTCAAGGGTTCAGAACCCCATGCTGGCCAGCAGCCAAAAACAAAACAAAAAGATCAATTTAAACAGCAGAAATCTAAATGCTTATTTTTATTTCTAGCAGAATACAAGATAAACTATCTGGTTTGTGGGGGAAAATACACATCATTAAATACAAGGGAAATTGTGCTCCTTTTCTCTATTTCTAAGAGGATTTCTCATGGAACTGTACCTTTTTGCATGGAATTGTACCTTTCTGCTTTGCTTTGATAACAGCCAACAGCACTCTGGGAAACAGCTCAGACTTTGTAATGACTGGTCAAAGTTCCTGATGTGTTCACTCACTCAAGTATTCACTGAACATCTACGTGCTAAGGATTGTGCTTAGAACTCGGATATAGCAAAAACCTCCACAAACAAGAATGTTAAACCTCACAGAATGAAATTAAACGCAATATGCTTTTTCTTGCCCTCTCATGTCAGATACCGCAAACATTAAAACTTCTAAAATCTTTTCATTCAAGAATGTTCAGCCTAGTGAGTCATTTTCAAGCCCACAACCTCCCCTTTACTCTCACGCTTAAGATCCTCTCAAATATCTTAGTAAAAGTTAGGTTATATTTTCTCCATTCTGTTTCTATTCTTGAATCTGACAGCTTATTCCAACTTTAAGGATGTCAACCTCACTGGAAGAAGGAATAAAAATCAGTACCAGCAGCTCAAAGATTGTGTTGGGGGCTGCGGGGGGAAGATATCTGCATGCATTTAGTCATCAACTCATTAGACCATTGGGAAGCAAACAGATTTAGTGCTATTTTTATCAATATGGAACCATTTGTCAAATAGGCTAACAGTGAACAACAGCATAGCAAACTATTCAGAGGCACTGTTTAGGCATAATTTTCCTGGCTGTGGACATCCCAAATTAATCATGTAGATGTGCTGGAGGCCAACAATGGCAGAAACTTGGTAACAATCTGGGAAGCAAAGGAAGCCAAGGTATTTGCATTTAATGTCCAGAACACTTCGAATGCCTAAAAGTCATCAAGAGCAGATCTGCTATTAGACAGAAATCAGCAGAGTTCCCAAACTGATGGCTGGCTTTGTTGCCTTTTCTTCCTAACAGACTTCTCAAAAAATGCTATGACAGTTTTTCTGGTGCCAGGGCGTGTCAGTGTGACTGCAAGGGACATGCTTACATTCAAATATTTGAGGTCTGGTTACCAACATAAGAGATGTTTTTTAAAAAAAGGAAGAAACAAACATACTGAGAAAATGGTGATTACCAAACTGGATTTTGCCATGAAAATACAGCTGCAAAGAAAAAAAAAAAATTGAGGATGGTCTGGGGGAGGAGTTGATTCAGCTTTTTCTAGTATTGTCCTCGCTATACTTACTTTTAACTTTGGAAATCCTTTTACCTTTAGTTATAGAAGTTTTCCAAATTCTATTCCCTACATCAAGTCTAATAAGCCAACATCAGAAAAGCACATGGGTCTATATACTTATTAGAATCGTTAAATAGGCAGCCTCAATTGTCATCATATTATGATTCTATTCCCTACATCAAGTCTAATAAGCCAACATCAGAAAAACACATGGGTCTATATACTTATTAGAATCGTTAAATAGGCAGCCTCAATTGTCATCATATTATCTGTTTTATAGGACACAGTACAGGGTCAAAAAGAAACTACAATTCAGTTTTTCAATAACTGGTGTCAATTAATCACGGTGCTTGGCTCCTTTGTAAATATGGAGATCTCATTCTTTCTCTTTCCTCTTTTTCCTCTACTCTACCCCCATCCATACGCCAAAAGGAAAGAAGAGGGAGTGTCTCATCAGAAGCCTCTGCTAGACATGCTTTAGTAATGTCAGCTACTCATTACTTCTTCAGTGCCATTAATCTTATACCTAAGAATGTCAAAGATACAAAACTGTCTATCACAAAAACAATACTAGATATAGAAAATATATAGTGGTTCAAGGAGCTCCCTTCTGTTAATTAAGCCCATGTCAAATTGTTATCTGCAAATTTTTAGAAAACCTGGACTCAACAGGATGATAGATCCAGTGCACACACCATGGGCCTCATCACAAATTGCTTCTTCTGGCCACAGTTAACTGAAGAGGCAGTGAGGCTCTAGTCCCCCCTGGGGGAGGTCCATCATAAACACAACAGCCCATAATTTTGCTCAGCAAGGACCAGCAGGTAAGTCTCAAATCTAAAGGTAATAACAGACAAATTTAAGAGCCATAATCAAGTGAAAAGAATAACAGATCGATTTCATGTCTCTCTAGTACAAACACAAGTCCAAACACCAAAGCTCAAACATTTTTTAAAAACACTGCCACAGAAATACAACTTGAAATATGCAGCCTAAGAAAAAAACTACATAGGAAAGCAAACTGGTAGTCTTCTGCATTTAACTCAGTCAGGTGAGGTTGGGTGGGGGAGGTTAAAGATGACTGTCTGCAGCAGGAACTCTTTCCCTCTGCCCTATCCCCTTTCCCAAAGCCAAGAGAAGAAAGGCACTGAGAGGCGAGGGCAGACTGCTTCTGTTTGTTCAGTTGAGAAATGGAGGAACCAAGTCTCTGTTGATGCTATTAATCTGTTAAAGCTTTCAACAGCACTAAAATTCATTGGCAAGTGATGAGCTGTGCCTTGTTGACGAGTTACAGTGCAAGTTAAATCATGAAAAGAATCTGAAAGCATACCCAATCAATACAGGCTTCCAAAGTTATCATAAAAAACCAATTTATGCTTTTTGTAAGGTATTAGCCTTACAGATGATAAAAGACAATCTTTTTTCAACTAAGAAATGCATTCTTTTTCCCAGAACCCAAAAGACAATATGTCATTCTGTGGGTCACCATGTGCATAGATATATAGTTTATATGCATTGTATATACACCCACACTTACACGTTCTCAATACAAAGTCACAAGGTCCTCATGCAAAAGCTTCCAGTTTTATGTGAACCCCCAACAAATATGTCTGAACCTTTTGAAAGCATTGAATACTTGTTCAAGAGGAGTAGTAAAACAAATAAACAACAAAAACCAGGAAGGGTTATCTGGCCAGCACACTTCTAAATGATAAGCAGTCTTCTAAATGATTCTCAATTGATAGGGCTCTGGGCATGGTAAACTCTGGGAAAAAGAAACAGGCACTACACACCTAATCCCTATAAACAAACTACATGTACTCTCAATCTAGTTCAGGCACAAATCCACTCCCTTTGTGTGTGAGGCAAAGTCTGTGTACCAACACCATGGACAAGACAGCTTCCCTGCACACTCCACTGCCCTCTGGTACCCAGGTCAATTAGATTTAGGACATGGGAAGAGGCAGGAAGAGATAGCCCTCCAGCCTCTTTAAAAATCCCCCAGCTTTCCTGGCTTGGCCCATTCACTTCCACGAACCAGATAGGGAGAATAGCCTTCCAGCTCCCAAGCACTCAGCAAGCCAGACTCTAGATTCCGCTTTCTATTTTCTGATGCCCACAGACATGCATATCTTACCTAATAAGACAGTGCTCTGATATACACATGCTAATTTCCAGGAAGCAAACTTAAAAAGCCTTCTGCATGTACATCCTTCCTTTGAAAAATGGGGAAAAGGGGAGGGGGGATCGCAGTTCTCCCCTTCCTTATTTTCCTGGGAGCTGCAAAGCCCTCCAAAGTGCAGAGGCATTTGCCCACTAGGGCCGCCTGGAGAAGCCGCTCCCCCTCTCCCCCGCCTTCCCCAGCCCGGGCGCCGCCGGAACAATGCAGCAACATACATTTACCAACACCTGCTGGAGCCTATTAATATGCACGGGGACGCATTGATTTTTCCCCCCTCCCTTCCCCTGCCCTCCACACTGAGCAGGCTTTCATCTCCTCCTCTACCATCCATCAGGAACTCATTTCGCCGGCCCCCTCCCCCTCCCACCTCCAGTCCCCATTCAGCCGAGCCCCTCGCTCCCAAAGCCCAGGCTGACGAGCACACTTTGGAATGCACTTCATTAAAATTTAGCTGCCCGATTCCAACCTGCAATGCGGAGGAGGCAATACAAAGCGCGCGCCACACTTCCTCCTGCATCCCCTTCAAAAGCCCCATTGTTCGCCAGGCATCTGCTCCAGAGCCCGGCTTCTCCCTACCCAGTGACCCCTGGTTTTTCCCTCCCCCCTCCCCCTCCCTCCCCGCCCCGCC